CAACAGTGCGCTTTCACAGAGAGACTCCGCTCGCACGCTGTTCTGAATGTGTGGCGTCTCACAGTCGCGTCGCGTCTAGTGTGGACAGACACACTTGCTGTCGCCGGAATTTTATCGCGCCGCGTGTAGTTAGGACACGGTGTTATTGGTCATCGGATGCCCATTTTCCACAAGTTGGCTTGATTCTTTAGGGTCTTTATGCAAAGTTTGTAATATACATTTGGTTAAAATTCCTCATTGGTTGTGTAAACCGGCACCCTTTTTACCTCGTCAAAAACAGCTCTTTTTATAGGGACCCGTTTCGGTGCATGTCTCTTTAAATGATAATGAGACTCCACAGTCAACACTGTCGCAAAACACATACACATGATAAATATCCAGTGAATTCTTGCAAGTCCAAAATAAAATGGTTTTAAACTAACATAATGTAATTAAAGAAAAAATATTAATTATAGATATCATTATATGAATATACAGTAAATTAAATATTAATATGGAAATAAGTAAGAGTAGGATTACACTGTGACTCGTACACACTTTAAGATTGATATGGCTTCATTACTTGAGTTTAGTGAAAATCATTAAAGGGATACTTCACCTCTGGGAAGATAAATGTGTATTTAATATTGGTCATTTATATAGTAGAAATGTGTAATTATTTTTGAAATTGAAGCTTTGTAGACTGAGAAAATGCAGAAAATTTATTTTTTACTCATGTGGCTGAAAGACTTCAACTCCCAGAATGCAATTGCTTTGCTGCCCTTACGAGGCCACTCCCAAACCACACCTACCGGTTACAGACGGCAGAATCCAAAAATAGATACAACTAGGCTTGCTTTGATACATCGTGAGCTATTTGATAAATTTCCATCGAAATGGTGCTAAATTGCATTGTACCGGGATGTACTAGCCTAATGTATATAATACGACTCAGACTTTTTAACATTAGAAATATGATGCAAGACAGGACCATGCTAAGAGAGTAGCTTAGTAGCTCTGCTTATGAATTGTTTTCCCACCAATTGAAATCACTATTTCTCTGAGCTAATAGGCTACATTATCTAGGCTAATCCATACTCTACTAACACTAAAGGTTTATAAAAAGAACCACAACCAATGTGAGTTCTAACTTTTATTCATCGATCTCACCAGAGGACGTTCCTCTATCTCTTGCAACTGTTTATCACTGTTTATCGCTGCTCGTACAGCTAGCCGCGAGCTTAAGATTCTCGCCCGTCCCAGCTCAAGTCTGACTCGCTCCGGCCGGCTGTTGATCCTCCATCTCCCGCGACTGTTTAGCCGGTAGCAGCGAACATCAGATTCTCACCCGTCCCAGCTCGAGTCTGTCTCGCTCCGGCCGCTTGTTTCTCCATCTCCTGCAACCGTTTGCAACTGTTTATCGCTGTATTGCGGCTCGTACAGGTAGCCGCGAGCATCCGATTCACGCCCGTCCCAGCTCGAGTCTGTCTCGCTCCGGCCGCCTCTTGTTCCTCCATCTCCCGCAACTGGCTCGTACAGGTAGCCGCGAGCATCAGATTCTCGCAACAGATCTTCGAAAACCCCTTCTGCCATTTCAACTTCAAAACTACTTTCCACCATCGCGATTAGCCTACTATACAAACTTTCTACACAGACCAAGAGGCTAGAGCCCGTTAGCTTAGCTTCTACAGAAAGATGGCTGACACGATGTTTACATTCTGTGAGTGAGATCCCGCCCCATATGAGCGCGGTGAAAACATGCGGAACACTGGCTGTAGTCTTTAGCCTCTAGCCCAAAAATCCTCCGATGACGCAATTTTTTTTTTTTCAGGAGGATTTTTTTCAGACTTAAAATTCATTTTTCTCTCATATTAGGGGGATATGAGGGGGGAAGCAAGGTAATTCGAAAATACTACTGGTTTACTACTGATACAAAGCTTAATGCTAAATCCTGAAGTATCCCTTTAATCCTACAAATCTAATAATTTCTGTGGTCATCAAAAATAATATTAATAAATCAAATATTAATGCATGTCAATTTGTTCATACATTTTTTTTATTTGCTTTTAGTCTGGACTCTTTCGTGAAGAAATAGCCTTGAAGAAGGATAAAGGACTTTGACATGAGGGTGAGTGACTCTTTTTCCTCTATGGATTATTTTGTAATTGTATCAGACATATTAATGGATAGATGTTTTAACTGCCGTTATGTTTGTGTATTTTAGAGGTTTCAGAACACAGTGTCGATGAGCGAGGGAGATGATGAAGATCTTCGGCTGCTGCTGATCGGTAAAACCGGATCTGGGAAAAGCGCCACCGGGAACATCATCTTTAACGATCGAGTGTTTAAGTCAGTAATGAGCTCTTCATCAGTGACCAGATCCTGTAAATCACACACTGGTAATGTTAATAACAGGAGCGTGACAGTCATCGATACTCCAGACTTCATCTTCTCCACTCACACTGACATTGATTCAGACTCAGAGCTGAAGAAAGCTCTTGAATTATGTTCAGCAGGAGCTCATGTGATCCTGCTTCTTCTGTCTTTAAGCACTTTCACTGAGCAGGAGATGGATTTCACTGGTTGGTTTGAGCAGAAGTTTGGTGAAGAAGCTCTCAGATTTACTGTAGTGCTCTTCACTCACGCAGGTCAGAGACACATGAGGACACTAGCAGAAATGATCAGGATAAATCCTCAATTATCTGATTTTATTAACCGATGTGGGCAGAGATATCTTGAGTTTAACATTAAAGCTCCAGCAAACAGAGGACAGGTGACTGAACTCATAGAGAAGATCGATATACTCGTGTCTGAGAACTCAAACTCCTGCTACACACTCGAGATGATGCAGGAGACTGAGAGGAGAAGAAAGGAGAGAGAGAGAAGAGCAGAGGAGGAGAGGAGAGAAGAGGAGGAGAGGAGAAGAGAGGAGGAGAGGAGAGAGCGGATAAGAGAGGAGGAGAGGAGAGAGAGAGAACACCAGATGGAATTAGAAAGAGTCAAAATAGAGACAGAAATTAGTGTGAGGAGATATATTGAACAGGAGAAACAGAAGAGAGCAGAGGAGGAGAAGAGAAAAGAGAATGAGAAGAGAGAGAAAATAAGAGAGAAGGAGAGGAGAGAGAGAGAACGCCAGATAGAATTAGACAGAGTCAGAATAGAGAAAGAAATACGTGCGAAGAGAGAATTTGAGCTCAAATTAAAGCAAGAAAAAGCCAAGATTGTGGAGAACAAAAAGAAAGCTGAGAAACAGCTGAAGTATGTTAGTGTTCTTATGGTTTTTGCTGTGATGTCAGGAGGTGTTTTGGTGTGGAGGAGAGACTCTTCACATGGAGGGATGTTCATTAAGGGTTTCATTGCAGGAGGGTCTGTTAGAGTTTTCACTGGGATTCTCTGGAGATTGATGTTGAAGAGTCAGTTTATCTGTTCATCTTTTCACGAGCGTCCCAGTGCTGTTATACAGTTATTACTGGAGACAGTAGGTGTTGGTGGTGGTATGTTTGCTGGAGCTTTTATTTATCAATTTAAAGGAGAAAATCTACTTCATATTCCTGTGTTACCTGGAGCTGCTGGAGCTTTCACAGGAATACTTACAAGCTTCTTATTTTCATGTTTTTACAAAAATGTTTAAATGATATCATTGAGATGTAAAAAAATGTGTATATTATATACAATTATGCCGTGGTGTGTCGCCAAAATTGTGTTCTACGTTATTTTAGAGCTCAGCTTGTCATGTGATTAATTGGGCAGCTTTGTTGCAAGTGAAACTGAAATGAATTAAATCTGTAAGCTTTTATGATGACTGCCTTCTTTTAAACACCAATCTTAAGCAGACATTTATATTCAATATAACGGAGGCCAGCTGGTAGTTGCTGTGCGAGTAACCCTCACTCCTCTGATCTCAATAGGCGCTCTAGCGACAGAGGCTGCGGTCTTTAGCCTCCTTGTGTCTGACTCTCATGCCAAAGACCCGGGTTAAAGGCCGCACAGGGGTGCGTTTCCCGAAAGCATCGTTAGCCAACTATGGTCGCAAGTTGGTCGCAATTTCCACTGAACTCTATTGGTAACGACGGAACTTGCGGCCATAGTTGGCTAACGATGCTTTCTGGAAACGCACCCCTGAGCGGGGCGAGTAGGACTCAGGTGGAGGGGTTACATGTGCATTTAACTTTCAAGTTATGATTTAATTTAAAATTGTAAGTATAGGATGTTTACTGCAAACATGAAATGTTTCAAAGTGGTTCAGAATGGTAATAATAAAACAAATCTTTATATTAGGTATAAATTGTGTGTATAAGGTGAAAGCTATCAAGCATATAATAACATTAATGTTACAAAAGATTGCCATAATAGAGTATAAGAACACAGGCCTCATTTATGAAATGTTGTAATCTTTAAAATGTGGAATATATAAGTTGCAAATGTTCTTGAAATTGTGCGCAGCTGAATGGTTTCAGATCTTCACCTAGAACGACACATAACTAATTCAGTTAACATCGAGGAGATCCAGTCACTAACCAGCCTGAAAGCAAATATTGAATATTTGTTAACCTTTTCTGTGATGTCAAATGCTTTCCACTGTAAATAAAATGTACACCATTGAAAACAATTGAGTGTTTATTGGTCATACACAAAAATATAATGCATGGATAGAAAACATTATTTTTCAATTTATTTTAACTTCTGAACAGTTAAAGGGTTAGTTCACCCAAAAATTAAAATGATGTCATTAATGACTCATGTCGCCCCAAGCCCGTAAGACCTCCGTTCATTTTAAGAACACAGTTTTCATTCGCACAGGATTAGTATTATCTGGTGACCTGTAGTAATTTGTAATAATTGCGTAGTTTGTCTGTGATCTTAATTCCATGCGAATCGGCCATGTCTGTAATTTGTAAAGTAAATATTCCCCCGCCTACTATATTTCGCTGAACACCAAGGTCCTGTGATAATTTTAGTCCCGTGCGAATCAACATCTCTTTGTTTTGGCTGGATCGTATATCATTTTTTCAAGGTTTTTGTTTCATATGCGCCTTTTTATCCATCTTTGGCGAAGAATGAAGGTCATATCGCTATACACAACTACACAATTTGCAGAAAGTAAAAGCTGAAAATCATCAGAAGAGCAAAAACAAAAACAATGATTAGATTAACTGTAGCATTAAGCATTAACTGTAAGCAGCTATTTATTCGGTTCACCTGACGTCACTGTAGCTTTGCGGCGCCATCTTTGCGACCGACGGTCTCAATCATGCCTGCAATGTTGTGCAGTTGGCTGCAACAATAGCCGAAAGAGGAACCCTGAACTGGTATTTTATTTTATAGCAAAAGAAGAGAGAAGAGAAAATCATTTATTTAAAAGACTTGAAGTCTCATGTTGCTGGTTTGTGGTTTATTTATATTTCAATTATAGCCTACTCTCAGTGGAACAACATTATACAAACAGACATCGACAGATAATTTTTTTTCTTCATTTTATTTGTTGGATCTGTTTAAATGCACTTTATCATGGTGAGTTATTAGAGTTGGAGTTATTTTGAACATAACTGTCTGTCTGTCTGTTAGTTAATACCTACCTAATTGTAATAAATATTTTTCTGAAGTTCATAAAGATATTGTCTCTTCCCCACATGCACTTTAGATGTTATTTTGTGTAAGTAATGTTAGCTCTGCATACGATCTCAGCCTTGAAATGCATATTAAAGGACAAGTTCTTCCAAAAAGGATAATTCTGCCGTCATTTAACTAACGTTACACACCTTCATGTGCAAATTCTTAAGTTTACTTTCTGTGGAAGACAAAGGGACAGCAGCCTAATGGAGACTCTTCTTGTCGATGTAATGAAAGTGAATGAGTAAATAAAAAAGCATCACAAAAGTATCATAAAAGGGATCTAATACGACTCCTCCCTTATATTAATATCGTTATTTATGAATATGATAGCTTTATGTGACAAACAAACTGCAATTTAAGTCATCATAATCACTGAAGAGCTTTACCTCTTGGTAGCTTTTAATCGCATTCAAATCATTCAAAAAGATTCAACTCGAAAGACTCATTTCATTTCGATATTTGTGTGTATTAAACCTTCTGTTCTTTCGGACAGATATGGCAGTCTTTTATGATATTTGACTGATGTCTCTGACTGTGCTGATGCAGGTGTCTCTGTGCCAGTGCTGCTGTTCGGATTAGAAAGATTCATTCATGCCAGCCGAACTGCTGCAGAAGATTCATTCATGATATCGCCTCGACTCTCATGAACGCATGCCATAGCTCTATGACATATGTATTTCTATATAATGAAAGGCCGATTGGGGCCAGCCTGGGGCAAGATGAAAGGTATATATGGAGAAGATAAGCCGCTGAGAGGGAGCGACTGGTCTGCAGATGTCGCTCGCCTTTGTTTGTGAATAAAGTCTAATATTTCTGGCATCAGAGATCTCTGCGAAGTCATTTAAAAACAGACCAAAACCAGTTCACTATCCTTTGAAAAAAATTCCGAAACTTGGACAAAAATCTCTTAAACCCACTCGGTTCTTGTTTTGGTTGTTGTTGTTCCTCTTGTTTTTTTGTCTTATTGTTCTCACTCTGTGTCGGTGCTTGAAGACTTTCTAGTTTTGACTTCCGTTTAGCTTCAAACTCTGCTCTGAGTCTCTCCTCTGTCTCCTTTCTCACTTTCTCAATCTCTTCACTTCTTTTGTCCTCTTGTTGCTTTTTCTCTTCTTCCTCTCGTCTGAATCTGTGAGCATCTTCATACATCTGATTACTGTAGTGTCCTCCTCCATTCTGCTCTATCATTGTGTCAATCTTCTTCAGTAGATCATTCACCTGATCTCTGTTATTCACATCTCTATTGTTGAAGACGTGAAATCTGCCTCCACACTGATCAACTAGATCTCTTAATCTACTACTCTCCTGAATGAGTTTCTCTACAGACTTTCCATCTAGCTCATCTCCATGAGTGAAGAGAATGATGGAGTATTTTAACACTTCTTCTCCAAACAACATCTCAATCATCTGAAGAATCTGCTGCTCCTGTTCAGTGAATCTCATATTCACAGGAAACACGATGATAAAAGCGTGCGGTCCAGGACTGGATAGATAAACACTTCTCGCTATCTCTGTCATTAACTCTTCAGGCATCATCTTTGTGTCAAAGAATCCAGGAGTATCAACTACAGACACAGATCTGCCTGAAACAGTGGCGTGAGCAACTGAACATTCACTGGTTACTGAATTCATTCTCATCACAGATATAAACTCTCTCTGTCCCAGTATTGTGTTTCCAGCTGCACTCTTCCCAACTCCACTTTTACCCAGAAGAACAATCCGTCTGGATGAGGGACTGGAGACTGGAGCGTCTTGTTCAGCTTTCTTTGATAATTTTCTCATCAGTGGATTTATCTTGGCTCCTGTTAATGTTTGAAAAAGGAAAACAAAAAGTTAAAAATATGTAACAAATTCTCACAGGGATGCACCTGAAGCTCAATGCAGAATTCAAAAAAGGAAATGGCGCATTCTACAGAGTCACTGAAGGGACATGGTGAAGCAAAAATATGAGACAGGAAAAATATATATTTCAGTGTGTCTTTTGCTTTCTTAAGTAATTATGTACTTGGGCAATTGTATCATTTTCAGGCATCAGGGAGCAGCTATCACTGCAATAGCTTTTGAATGTGCGCTCGCTTTTCACTTTCACTTTCAAACTCACAATCACTACAGCAGCAAACCTGAATATGTGCCTTTCAGGGTTCTGTAGATTGTGTTGTTTATTTTCTGTGCCTTTCTGAAAAAATTATTCAACTTCAGGTACATCCCTTCTCACAACGTGTGAACAAGTCAAATATCAATATCTTGCATAGTCTTTACTTATTGTAGAAGGTTGTCTATTATTGTCTACATGTCATTGTTTTTCTATATACATTCTTCATTGTTCACATGTTCATATGTTCACAGGACAGAAATGATAATTAACCAAATGTGAATTTGAATCAAACTTTATAGTTATTTACCTTTGTAGATAGGCTACAATACATTTTTTTATTTAATAATTTATTAAAATTCTATTTGGTAATTGGTTAAAAAAGACTCACCCATTGTCTTAAAGAATGTCCCGATCTTGTTAATCAGGAATTTAACTTGTCCAGAGTGTTCTCTCTTCTTGTTGTTGAGCACATGGTATCTCTGATCATATTTCTGAACGAGTTTCTTCAGTGGTTCAGTCTCACTGATGAATTCCGTTATTGTAATGTTTTCATCCTCCAGTTGATCTCCTCCAGTGAAGAGAATCCAGGTTTTCTTCAAGCGCTCTTCTCCTAACAGCTCCTCAATCTTCTCCACAGTTTCTCTCTCTTTATCAGTGAATCTGTCAGTTTTGATGACCAGCAGAAACACACAGGGACCTGATTCACAATCCTGAAAAATGCCCTGATATTTTAACTGAATCTCATCCTCAGTCAGATCAGTGTCAAAGTATCCTGGTGTGTCATAAACGGTGACTGGGCATCCGCCGACATTACTAGATTTCTTAGAAATATCTTGTGTGACAGATTTGGGGCTTTTCCTTGATATGAAAGCTTGTTCTCCCAGTATTGTGTTTCCTGATGCACTCTTTCCCGCTCCTGTCTTTCCCAGGAGGACCAAATTCAGACCTTCAATGGTTTCTCCCATTGTCAAATGTGGTCTGAAGTGCTGTAAGAAAATAATAAACACATAAATATCTTATATTTTCCACAAAGTGTTCCATTAAAGTCTGTCTGTACTTAATTTAAGTATATTTATTTGAACTTTTTTTTCTGTGGAAATAATTTATTCATGTCTTAAAATAGCTTGAATGTAACTCTACAGACTTCATTAGCTTCATTTAGCCATACATGGATCCATGAATATGCAAATTTATCCTTGCCTCCACTATTTACATAATTTGACCTGATCCACTCGGATAAATATAGTAAACGACAAACAATGGCAAGTGTAAATACTGCTTTGATTCATTCATGCATGTTTGAACCAGAAAGTGATTCAAAAAAAGAAGATACAGGTTCACCTAAAAGTCCATGTATCATATAATACGTGTTTCGTATCATTTTCCACAATACATAAATACACTCATATGATTAGAATACACACATATGATGTTAAAAATGACACATTGTGAGACGTTGTGTCAGTTTTAACACATGTGCTCAGGGACAACCAATGTTGAGTCAAATTTAACACAATATACATGTTGAGTCATTTTAACGCACAAATTGTTAAGTAATTAAATACTGCCAATACTGTAAGCATTTTTAAGATAAAATGAGACAGGCAGATGCAAAAATATTAACCATTTAATCAAGTCGACAACATAATGCATGTACAAAGTACCCGAAAAACAAGCTTGTATAATGACTGGACAGACTCACTGTACTATACATTATTCAATTATTCACTCTTCAACACCTGATTGATAATGCTTTTGAGAAAATGTGATCACATGTTTATTGATTATTAAAAAAGTCATCAATCACTGATCTAATCAAGTTATTGAGTAGTTCCTGAGTTTTTCTATTAGTTCTAAATGTTATTCCGTATATCATTATGTTATTCAGCAGTACAGAACGATTTCTTTAAAAAAAAAACTTTTATAGCTGCAGCAGAAACTAGTGAAACAGACTTCAAGATTCAGTCAGCGTATGATTCTCAACAACTGACAATCAACAAAATATTAAAATAAATAACTGATAAGCGGCTATCTAAATCAACTGAAAAGACATGAAATCACTCTAAAACCAGTTGGACTTTATTTCTATCATTAATCTACAGATTTTCTTTTTGAGAATTAACACATTTTTAGATGTTGGACAATGTATGGACTAGCTGTTTACTCCTGTCTGCATCGATTGCTCTTGTCTGCCTCACTGCCTGCTGCTGTGTGTTTGTTTGCTTCAAGACAGTACACTCCGTCCAAACCTCATATTAGCTTCGTTTTTGTTTTGTTTTTTAGCATGATTTCTAGTTTTGTATACTACTAAATACATCTTACCCAACATCTCAGATTTTTAGTTTTTTTTTTTTTTTTAAGAAATCGTTCTCTACTGCTGAATAACAAATCTATATCCAAGAAACTTTTAGAACTAATAGAAAAACTCGGAAAATTTATTAGATCAGTGATTGGTGACATTTTTCACAATCAATAAACATCTGATCATATTTTCTCAAAAGCAGCATTATCAATTATGTGTTGAAGAGTGAATAATTGACTAATGTACAGTTCCTTACACCGCTAGCTTCCGTTATAGGGGTGGGGGGGAAAAAAAATCACCCAAAATCACCCGATACAGCGTAGTATCGCGATATTTTCTGTGGCAATACTGTATCGACACACGGGCACCAACAAGTATCAATCTTTTTTTGCAATATTTAATTATAAAATTATCTGTTTTACTTTCCGGTTTTCTTCATTGGTTTCTCTATTTTTCACTGCTTGAAAACATAGGTTGAATCCGAAATCGCCCCCTAAACAATCATTCACTAAGTTAGGCTTATTTAAGTCAGTCCACTAATACTGTTCACTTGAAGGAGTGAATGAAAACGAGTGAGCGAATTCAGACAGTTGTTGAGCGCAGTTTTAGGCTACACGTTAAAGGATTAGTTCACTTTAAAAAAAAAAAAACTTTGATGATAATTTCCTCACCCCCATGTCATCCAAGATATCCATGTCATTCTTTCTTCAGTCGAAAAGAAATTAAGCATATAATAATTTGTCCATATAATGGACTTCAATGGGAACCAAACGGTTCAAGGTCCAAAAGACAGTTTCACTGCAAACTGTTCAAAGGGCTTTAAACGATTCCAGCCGATGAATAAGGGTCTTATCAAGAGAAACGATCGCTCAGTTAAAAAATAAATAACAAAGTTTAAGTTTTATAAGCTCAAATGCTCGCCTTGATCTGTTCTGTGATGCGCGTTCGTGACTCTCCTGTTCGAACTCATTTATTAAAATGAACAAATCTTTTTTCGAGTCATGACTCAAAGGGCCCTAGATAAGACCCTTATTCATCGTCTGGAATCGTTTAAAGCCCTTTGAACAGTTTGCACTGAAACTGTCTTTTGGACCTTGAACCGTTTGGTTCCCATGTAAGTCCATTATATGGAGAAAATCCTGGAATGTTTTCATCAAAAACCTTCATTTCTTTTCGACTGAAGAAAGAAAGACATGGACGTCTTGGATGACAGGGGGGTGAGTAAATTATCAGCAAAAGTTTTTTTAAAAGTGAACTACTCCTTTAAAGTCAGTAGGCGGTCTTTAATTGCTGTTCGAACGCATTGGACCCCATGAGTGTTTACTCACCCCCATGTCATCCAAGATGTCCATGTCTTTCTTTCTTCAGTCAAAAAGAAATGAAGGTTTTTGATGAAAACATTCCAGGATTTTTCTCCATATAATGGACTTACATGGGAACCAAACGGTTCAAGGTCCAAAAGACAGTTTCAGTGCAGACTGTTCAAAGTGCTTTAAACGATTCCAGACGATGAATAAGGGTCTTATCAAGCGAAACGATCGCTCATTTAATAAATAAATAACAAAGTTCAAGTTTTATAAGCTCAAATGCTCACCTTGCTCTGTAGTGTGATGCACGTTCGTGACTCTCCTGTTCGAACTCGTTCATCAAAATGAACGAATCTTTCTCCGAGTCAATTCGGTCATTTCGTACGTTAAATGAACCACACGACTCGGAAAAAGATTTGTTCATTTTGATAAACGAGTTCGAACAGGAGAGTCACAAACGCGCATCACAGAACAGAGCAAGGCGAGCATTTGAGCTTATAAAACTTGAACTTTGTTATTTATTTATTAAATGAGTGATCGTTTCGCTTATTCATCTTTGGAATCGTTTAAAGCCCTTTGAACAGTTCGCAGTTTGTACTGAAAGTGTCTTTTGGATACTTTAGCAGAATCAAATCACAATACTTGCTTGTATCGCAATATATTGAGAATCGCAATAATTTTGAATTGTGGCCCAAATATCGCGATACTATTGAATCGTCACATTTTTGCCAATTCCCACCCCTATTCCGTTATTGTTATCACAACACACTAGTAATTCGCTAGTCTTTAACGCGTCACTTGTGTGCTCCTTTATTTATTTATTCATTTTCTTTCGCGCGGCCGCGCCTTTGAGTTCAGAAAAAGCCCAGGTGAGTATGAATCAGTCAACAAACATGGTGAGTAATGTCTTGTACTGTTATTGTCACCTGTGTCACATGTCATATGTTTAGTATAGCTAGGGCTGCACGATTAATCAAATTTTAATCACGATCACGATTTTGGCTTCCCACGATCAAATTCGCGTGATCGAGCGATAAGTTGAATTGTCATTCATCACTCAATTAATTACTTAATTGTCTCATTAACTTCAACACTGCTTCAGTGTTACTTATAACATTATGAATGTGGATCAAACACTGAGCAGTGTTAATTTAAAACTGGGAAATTTGTTGTGCCAGTGGGGGCAATAATAATAATAATAATAATAATAATAATGAAAAGCAAATTGGAATGCAGAAACCATATTTTCTATACGATCTCCTTAATACTTTCAGTGTAGTCTACCCTGTTTATAATTTAACTCCGTTCCAAACCTGGAAATGTGAAAAGGCTCCGTGGCAATTCATTGAAAACACACAATCAACTTAGCTTAGCCTACTCCAAATTAATGGACACCTAATAAAGTCCACGCCGACCTCCAAGACGAGTGTTTTAAAACCACATGCTGTTCTTTTCCGGAGTTTCTTATGAGGAAGTTTTCAACCTAAAACGAAACTAAAAGAAATGCATCAATCGCCTATAGGCCTAGGCTAGGCCTACTCGATAATACAAAGTTATAGCCCCTGCAATATGAAAGTCCATGAAAGTTTAAATGCTATGAGTATTATATAGGCTAATTGTGTAAAAATCCAGAGGCCTTTCATCTAAACAAAAGTTTGGACTTATTAGAACTAAATAAGAAATAACCGCGAAATATTTCCTTAAAATAAAACCGTAAAACAGAGGAACTAATTTAACGCGTTGGCAGCATTTTTAATATCGTAGGGAACGCTAAATGTAGCAAATATATCTGCAAATAAACTCTGTAAACCATAGTAAGCGTGATGACGCACTTAGAGAAACTTACCAGCTGCACTGTTTAGCCTACAGCTATCCAGTATCCTACATCATAAAAGTAGTACACGTTTTGCAATAAGTAATCGGAGTAATTGAAACTTACCTCACATTAAACGATATTCGAGATTCTTTCGAGATGTTTTTGTTTATTTCGTATCTGAGATCGAGGCGAGCTTGGAACTGTCGGCAGAGTAACTTCCTCCTTGGCTTCTTCTTCTTCTTCTTCTAAGTTCTTCTTTTCGTTTCATGGCCGTTCACTCCTTTAGAGTATTACCGCCACCTACTGTATACCTTACGCACATGATTAATGGATCTGATTAGGAAGGAGAAAAAAACAAAACAAAAAAAAACCCAACCCATAGTATCAGAGCTCGTGTATCAGCTGACGCTGCGTGTTCAACTCCTCCAGCTTCTACACTGAGCTCCTCAAACCTCCAGGATGATCAGAAACTTGTTCTCCTCCTCAGGCTGGATCCTGTGATCTAGTCCTGTAGGTTCTAAAAAAGTTATCACTTCCTTAAACCTTTCTCTATCACTCAAACTCTTTCCCAATAGGTCCATAATGCTCACTGGCCTGTCCTTTATATTTCTAAAAAGAGCCCTACGCTGATATTCATATTTACTACACTTAAAAAAACACATGTTCTACTGTTTTCCTCCTTGGCTTTCAAACTCCGTGTGTGCTGAAAGGCGGAGCTCTAGTTAAAATGAAAACCTACGCAAGAGCGTGATGCCATTTACATTAGGCCTACTTTTAGGAAGTTCGTTTAACTAACGTTTTTTAGCTTGAACACAAAAACTTAAAAAAACACAAGAACTTAATGAGGCAAAATAGTTATGGCAATTTAATGTAAAAAAAAATATATACAGTATGTGCAAATGTTTTATTAATATCATAATCATTTTAAAGGGGTGTAATGCCCTTTTCACAAGATGTAAAATAAGTCTTTGATGTTGAGTGTGTATGTGAAGCTCAAAATACCCCACAAAAAGTTGTCAGTTTTTGAGGGTGAGCAAAAACGCACTGTTTTTGTGTCTGCATTACACTACACACTAACTAAAGTTATAAAAGTGAAATCTTAATCAACCACCCCAAACGATACGGACCATGTTCAAAAGTTTTAAAACAGACATATGCAATGTTTATTTCACAAAGTCAGTGATTAGAGTTGGAGGCTTTGTAACTTAGTGAAGATCTCCATCATTTGTCTCTCATTAATATGAGTGAGTTCTGCCTCCTGTCTGGCCTCTCTGAGCTTTGCTTCATAATAACGCTTGAGCTCAATCATTTCAATCTGGTTCCTCTGATTCAGTCGTTCCAGCTCTTTGATCTTCTCATCTTTTTCTTGTTCAGATGCTGTTAGTGTCTCTATTCTCTCCTGTAGTTTCCTCTTTTCTTCAGCAAATCTGGACTCCAGTTCTCTCTCTTTCTCCTGTAGTTTCTTCTCATACAGCTTCTTCAGTTCCTCTTCTTTATTGTTCAGCATGATCTCCACTTCCCGGTAAGAGTCACTGGTGTAAAATCCTCCTCCATTATCAGAGACCATGTCATCTATCTTCTCCAGCAGCTTCACAACTTGTTTACGATCCTCCATGTTTTTATTGTTGAACACGTGATATCTTCCTCCACAGCGACTCAGGATTTCTTTCAGGTTTTCATCGGCTTCGTTGAGGTAATCTTCAATAGTGGTGGTCAGTTCATCCCCGTGTGTGAAGAGGATGAGTGTGTGTTTATCTGCTTCTTCTCCAAATATGGCTCTGATCTTCTCCACTGAGAGTTTCTCTCTTCTTCAGTGAACGGGCCGAGTTTAATGACCAGGATGATGGCGTGAGGTCCAGGTGCCGTCATGTTTATACACTTACTGATCTCTTCCTTAAGATATTCCTCGGAAACACCTGTGTCAAACAGTCCTGGTGTATCTACCAGAGTAATTTCTCTTCCAGCCACTTCTCCAGTCTCCTTCCAGCACTCTTTAGTCACGGACGAACCGCTTTTTGCTGCTCTGAAGGTTTTTCTGCCCAGGATTGTGTTTCCAGAAGAACTTTTCCCTGCTCCGGTCTTCCCCACCAACACCATCCTTCTCAAAGACACTGAAGAAAAAAAGCAAGAGAATTAAAAGTTCACTCAATCTAAACTGGATCAAGGTCATAACGTTTAAAAAGGGGTAATAAAGCAAGCTAATGGTTTTGAAAACATATTCAATGCTCTGTGTATACTCACTGTTTGGATGATCAAACTCAAAACTTCCCCTTTTGCCTATAAAAAAACAACAATATAATTAAAATCAATTAAATTATTATTATTATTTTGCAAATTATTTTGCAAAAGAAATATCAAGCTTCCTAATTGAAGACAAAAGTACACTATTTTTTTTCATTCATCCACTAATTTTTTTTTTTTTTTTAATAGGGTTATGGTTCATGAGCCATTATATAACTCACCCAAAACAATATTTTCTTTGTCTATGAAAACTATTTCATGAGAATGTTTGGTCGCCTTTATTGTGATCAGTGTTTCCTTTAGTTGTGCAGTTTGATTCTTGGCTTTTATGAGTTTGTGTTATTTGTAACAGTGATATATACAACATATATCATTTGTTACAAAGGAAGCCAGCAACAAAGATGATCAAGTCATATAGTTTTAATCATCATAATGTAGAATAGTTCAATAATCTTATCCCTGACCAGAAGTGGCTGTTTGTTACTAACAGATAATATTCACCAACAATACTTTCTCGCCACAGAACATTTCTAATGTAGGGATTTAAAATGCCCTTTTGCTTTATATCTCATTTGTACATAGCATAGATATATTCACTATGTTTTATAACACTGAGTTGGCAAATTTGTTGAAGGACAGCTTTTGCCCGAATGTGGAATAGTGTGTTTTGTCAATAATAATAAAAGAATAATAATAAATCAGATTAATAAGCTTAATTTTTTATAAGTTAACAGTTAACGTTAACTTATAAACACTGATTTACATTGTTTCGATGGTGGGTTGCTATCTGGGTTGTTTTCTAGGGTCAATGTTTACCAGAAGTTAAATATCTGACACTTGAGTGCTGAAATTGCTGATGTGTGGATTGGAAGTAATGTATAATATTAAAGTTAATAAATATCGATGTAGTGAATTATCAATGTCTTTTTTTTATTATTATTCTTGATTAAATATAAAGTAATGTTTCTTAACAGGAAACATGTATTCCCATTAACTTGTATTTTTTTTTAAATGAGAAACAATTGTTTAATGAAATTTATATCTATTAGATTGGAGAACACAAATCATTTCTAAAAAAATAATTTTTTTTGTTTTATTTGTTTAAATCTATATAAATTTATTTAGATCATAGAATTTAAATTAATTGACTTTCTTCAACATATAAAAACATACCTTGTGCCAGGTTTTATAAAATAATTTTCATAGACATGGGAAATATTGTTATTTATTTTTCATTGGCTCAAGTTATAAAATATAGATGTGATTTTTTTTCTATTGCATTATATCAAATAATGTTAAATAAAATATAGCAATAATGTACAGATTTACAAGACTAGCTATATGATTACAATATTCTTCATTTTCTTTAGTCTTTTACACTAGGCTTCTCAACAGTTTTAAGACTGAAACGGATAGACCAGGGGTGCGTTTCCCGAAAGCATCGTTAGCAAACTATGGTCGCAAGTTCCGTCGTTACCAATAGAGTTCAATAGGAATTGCGACAAACTTGCGATCATAGTTGGCTAACGATGCTTTCGGGAAACGCACCCCTGGTCAATCCGTTTCAGTCTTAAAACTGTTGAGAAGCCTAGTCATACGAATGAAGGGTATCTCGTCGCTGTAATTTCACACAGTAGCGGTTCTAGGCACGGGCGAACCGGGCAGTCGCCCGGGGCGGCATTTCTTCATGTCACATGGGGGGCGGCACGAGCAGTTAAAAAAATCCTCTGTGCCTCGAAGGTTTTCTATTTTTTTACCATTTCGATTCAATTATTGGCAATGGCGCCCCTAATTGCTGAGAAGGTGCCGTGCACAGAAGCGATGTCAAGGGGGTCTCTTGATTAGTTCACGTATCGCGTCTTTTGCGCGCTCGAGGTCGTTATTTCAAATAGGCGATTAGGCGCACGGGAAGCGCGCTCATTATGCGCTCGCGGGAGGCGCGCTCATAAACTTTTCAGTATGGGAGTGCTCGTGCACCCAAACACTTGGGTGTTTTTTCTCTTCTCCATAAAAAAATCTTTTAGCAGAGCTTCAGCAAGCGTTTTTCTGTGGTGGAAATACATTAGCTACTAAAACTTGATTTTCATTAAGGAGAGCCCAGTGCATGGTTGTATAGCAACGACAGCCATGGGCAAATCGGTCCGAATTTTACTATTAATAATAAAAGATAAGCTACTGTGCATTATAAATGTCAGGAATGTATCTTTATTGACTCATTCTTTTTATAGAGATGATTGAATGCTGAAATATGAGGTATATTTTTATAAAATCTCTTTTTGTGTTAACCTTTTTTTAAGTTTAGTAGGTAAGATAAAAGACACTCCTTTAAAACAAATCTTTAATGTTATTAACTTGGTGAATTGATTGTGTATTAGGCTTTTTGTGTATGTGATCATGTTGGTCACTATATTCATGAAATGAAAATAATTTACATAATGATCAACTTTGTGTTTTTACAGTAGCCTATATGCAAAGTACAATTTTCTATTTTCTAACATTCTAACATTTTAAGAGTGACATAGGGCTACAAAAGCTATTTTAGGTCTATAACATTTTGGATAGTTTAATATGAGAGCTGTTCAAAATTATTTAAGAGATAAGAGATAAGTATTGTGTTACTAAATAAGTATCACTCAGACCCTTTTACTTTTACAAACTCCATCTCGTGACAAATATTGTTTAACAAGCTATAACTAAAAGTGTGCCATGCATATAATTTAAGGCAATAACCAATGCGCTAATGGTTACTTCAGTTCCTCTCTTTAAAGTTAGATTAATCTAGCAAAATAACTGGATTCTATTAACTGTGTTTTTCAAATGAACGGTATGTGATTTTATTGTTGGGTTGTTGTTGTTGTTTTTTTGTTTTTTTTTGGGGGGGGGGGGGGGGGGGGGGGGGGCGCTCGAAGGGGGTCTCGCCCTGGATGTAATTCAGAGTAGAACCGCCACTGATTTCACACATAGGCCTACTTATTTTATTTATTTGATGTTTTACAATATCTTTGCAGGGATCCTCTACGTTAAATTACGATGACATAAACTGACAAAATGAAATGGAATCAGCGATAAAGAATAGCTCAAATCAAAGGTGTGGAGGTAGCATACAAACCGAAAGTAAAACACGAAACTACGAAAACTTTGGGTAAAATACATAACTATCTGGCCTAAAGTACACAATTTTTTCCATCAAATTATGCGTAAAAGCAGATAGTCACCTCTGGTCTTGGTTGTGGGGCTTGAGGACGACATGATTCAGATTTAGCGCAGATCACCGCGTCGTCGCCATATACAGTAAAAGAAATGGACACAGCGACCGAGCAGTAGTGATGTTACGTATGACACTGAAGCTTCGATGCGCGTATCACATATGCGACACAATTTCTAGTGAAGCCCCGTATCGGGGTGTGTATTGGTTTTCCCAGAGTCACGTGATCGATGACAAATGAAGCCTCACTTTCTGTCCGATCACGTGCGAGTTTCGCTTTGGGTGTCAGAAGGCTCGAACTTTAACGAGTCAATGTTGCCTCAGTCTGGTTGATGGGTGTTTGAGGAGAGTGCTGTACTTTGAAAGTTAATAAATATAATTAATTAAATAACCAACATTTATTTTTTACTACTTAGTCTTCTTTTTTGTTTTGTCTTTTTGTTTTTGTAAAATCTTTGCACTTAAGCTTATATCTTTGCACTTAAGCTTATATCTTTGCACTTAAGCTTATATTATATACACTTTAATGGGAAAATGAATTTATCGAATGAACAAATTAAACACAAACATGTAAGGTTTTTATTTGTACACATAACATTGAAACTCTGTAGTGTGTTGTGGTTGCTTCATCTGCCAGAGCTTCTGGCTGCTTTATTTTAAATAAGCACCAGATGGCGCTGTTCTCGACACTCTCGAAGCTTTGAATCTTTTCCCGGAACAGTCAGGGGAAAGCCTCATTGCTTCATGAAGCTTCATTTCCCCATCCCTACCGAGCAGCACTCACTTCCTGCTAGCCAAGCGTTCTGCGCAGACACAAGCTGAGCTTGATGACGTAGGGTCACGTGAGCAATCTGACTGACTGACAGTTTTAAATATTCTAGTAGCTGTGTGCCAAAACAAATCTGAATCACCGAACGTTAATCTTGCAGAGACGGCGAAGCGCGACCTGGTAGCAACTTTTGGTATAGGCCTATTCTGATTATTTTGTCATTTTGCTTAATATTTATTTGTTTAAAATTGAACGCCAGTACGCCATATTAAGTTAATGCATAATACTTATGTAACCTCAGGGGAGGTCTATTGTAACCAAATAATCATGGCTAAGCGACCGTAAGAATTTCAAATGTTTACCAGCAGGCTATCCCAATAAAGGGAAATACAAAGAGAGAGAGAGAGAGAGACTGGAGTATTATAAAAATAGAAAATTTATTTATTTCCCCTTTTCTTTGGCTCAATGGACTCACAACATGAAACAGTATTCAAAGGACATTAGGCCTCTGGGCAACAGAGTCAGGGACAACAAAATCCAAAATCAAAGTGTTGAAATAACTCAAAAACAAAATACAACAAACTCAAAATTGATAAGGCACGTCACAAAATCACATGCACAAATATAACCAAAAAGAAAATAATTCACACTAGACAAACCAGTGGCCACACAACAAAATTGTTATCCCCCCCTACCCAGGATATTGCACCAACCCAATGGCCTAAAATACACACATTACATAACACACAACATACATCAACACACCAGGGGGAGGCTCATAGGCAACCCAATACACGGTTCTTCCCCACGTACACGTACACGTACACACACACACACACACACACACACTCGGAGCTGAATCCTAAAAACAAGAGCACAGGAAAAACAGTGGCCAGGACAGCATATGTCGCTCCTCCTGCAAAGAACAATTACAATGTTACATAATTATACAGGTCGGCATCACAACTATGCCTAATTTGTAACCTGTACACCAATGGGCTGGGAATTACTTAAGATGTAAAAAGTTAAGCTGAACAATCAGAGCGGGGCAAGAGGCTAAAGTAGCCTAAAACACTAACCTGTATGAACAGACCACAGCATCAAGCCAAAAGCTTGGTTATTTATAATACTGTAGCAGTCACTTTACTCCGTCTGGTTTTTACTTGAACATTCCCAAACCAAACTATAATAAAGAAACATTGCAAATCAACAGAACTACATACATAAACGTTCCATGAAGATGTACAAACGTGAGGGAGAAAGGAAGCCAATAAACTTACGTTCTCAGCACAACAAACGCACTCGGCAAACTTGTAGTTATCACTCTAAACCCGGAACTAATGAACAAAACATTAAATCAATAAAAGCTCATTACAGCAAGTACCTAAAAAACAGAGAGACAAACGCTGCTCAATAAAAACAAGAGACTTACGTCCTCGTTGAAGCACGCCAACACAAATCGCAGCCGATGAGGGCTCGCAAAGACAGGACACTAGCAGCACCCACGGCACTGGGTAATCGCACAAACACCAGATGAGGCTATGAAACAATGTAATCGTCTGAATCAAAATCACATATGCCAACGAGGTTTGATCTCACAATACATTTAAACATGAACTCACGTCAACTCGGACACTCAGCCAAGAGCCCAAGGAAGCAACAGTCTGTGACAGCACAAAATCAGAAAAACGCCAGCTTGCTGGATTTAAAGGTGTAGCGCCAAACAACCCCCACCTGATTCAATCAAGCGCAATTCTCATGGAACACACCCCACTCGCTACACTTACCCCCCCTTGAATGTCACCGTCCCGGTGACCGAAAAACAAAAGGTCAAACCCAAGGCCTAAAAACAGCACTATGGGATGAAATGGTTAAAGTGCTTTCTGCCGCAGGTGCAGGGGATCTAACAGTCGTACATGGGAGGTTGTAAGGATTAGGATGGTGGCCCGCATTTGTTCTGGCAGTTCTCCTTGATACAAGGGTATTGCCAGATGTCACTACTTCCCCTTCAACACCCAAAGAGTCACGTATTGAGTGCTGAGGTATAATTGGTCCCTGCTGCTCAAGAGCTGAAGGTTGCAACACCCCAGACTCCGTGGGAGATGTTGGTCCTCTTACAGAAGGTGCATCGATTGCCACCAATACTCCAAAATCATCAGACTCATCCAGACTACCACCAACATCATCCTTTATAACATTTGGCATGCTTACATTCAGCACCTCACCCCCTACCACAACATAGGGTGAACCTGGATCCGTTGGAAGGGGCCGCAGTTCTTTCCGGTTGATATTTTTCTCGTGACCTAACTGATCCCTTGGCCTAATTTTATAGAGTGTACCAACCTCATCAAGGCACCTCACAATCTCATACACTACATCTCCCCAATGATCACTAATTTTGTGCCGTCCCTGTGGGTGACTGCGACGATACACCAGTGTACCAGGGGGTAGGAGTGGCAAGGGAATCGATTGATTCTTTGCTCGTTGTTGAGCAGCTGCCTCTAAATGCGCTCGGGCCTGGCTATAAATTACAGAAAGATGCTCCTGATGTTCTTGGACCCACTCGGAAGTAGTAGTAGTGGTAGAGTCTAACGGGGTATCGATGGTACCCAGAAAGGAATCAAGTGGAAGAGTGGGTTTACGCCCAAACATCAATTCATACGGGGAGAACCCCGTAGACTGATGGACTGTGGTGTTGTAAGCAAACAAAACCTGTGGCAGATGGTAGGGCCACCGTCTCTTCTTATCTGGAGGTAGTGTGCGAAGCAAGTCATGCAATGTGCGATTAAATCTCTCACACTGTCCATTACCCTCTGGATGATATGGGCTAGTGCGGGACTTACGAATTCCATACACTCTGCACAATTGTTGGAGCAGCTCCCCTTCAAAATTGCGCCCTTGGTCAGTATGGATGCGTAATGGGACACCATAAGTATAAAACCACTGCTCGGTCAAGACTCGAGCTACGGTTGATGACCTCTGGTCTACAGTAGGATATGCCTGCGAGAATTTAGAAAACACATCCGTCACAACCAAAAGATTCTCTTTCCCATCACTTGATTTCTCCAATATGGAAAAGTCAATGGCTACTATTTCTAAGGGCCTTGATGCCATCAGGTTACCCATAAAGGTCCTCAATTTTGGCTGAGTTGCCTTAGCCACCACACACCGCCGACATTCACGACACCACCGGTCTACATCCTTTCGCATAAAAGGCCAATAGCATCGCTGGCGGACGAGACTGACTGTTCTTTCCACCCCTTGGTGGCCATGATCATCATGCAAAGCCGTGAGTACTTCTGTCTGAAGAGCCTGGGGCAGCAGTAACTGCACAACCCCTTTCGTACTACCAGGGACATGCGTCCTCCTATACAAGACCCCCTCATAAACTACTAGATTTGCCCATTGACGAACAAGCTCCACCACAGCCGGGGGCTCAGTAGACCTCTCTACGGCTGTAGGGGGACTGCCCCTCTTCCAATATACCAAGAAGGCCTTCAAAACAGGGTCTTCAGCCTGCAAAACTTGGAGATTGGCCTTAGTTCTCGTAGGGCATGCATCTATAGCCTGTATTTCAATCGAAGGGGACATAACCACACTCTTAATCTCAGCTGGCACAGAGATTCCCGAAGCCATCTCCTTCATAGAGACTAAGGCTGGTGGTGCCGGCAAGCGGGATAGCGCATCCGCATTCTTGTTACATGTACCAGGGCGATACTCGATGGTAAAATCAAAAAGTGCTAATTGCGCAGCCCAACGTTGCTCCACGGCTCCTAATTTAGCTGTCCGCAAGTAACAGAGCGGGTTGTTATCAGTCAGAACAGTAAATTTAGCACCCAGCAGATAATCCCGAAACTTATCTGTTACTGCCCACTTAAGTGCCAACAATTCAAGTTTCATGGCAGAGTAATTATCCATGTTACGCTCAGTTAGTCGCAAGCCCCTGCTTGCATAAGCGACTGGACGGCGCAGTCCTCCATCCTGCTCTTGGGACAAAACTGCCCCGAGACCCAGCCCACTAGCATCTACCTCAAGGACAAATGGTTTACTAAAATTGGCATAACCCAGAACTGGTGCACTTATCAATTTGTCCCTCAAAGTGTTAAATGCTTGATCACAGCCCCAGTCCCAATGGTCCCGCAAAGTGGCACTATGCCCCGGCCTATTCTTTTTAGGGTGTGGCTGCAGCTTTGCCACCAATTTATGCAGAGGAGCTGCGTACCTAGCAAACCCCTGCACAAAACGCCGATAATACGACGCAAACCCAAGGAATGATCGCAGTTCGGCAACTGTCGAGGGAGTCCTCCAATCCCTA